CAAGGTGCGTTGCGTCGTTTGATATATTTTTTTCTAGAAACTTCACTAATAGAAGAAGCACTAGAATTTAATTGAGCCATTTTGATATAGTCCATTATTAGCACTATGCCAAGAGAATTGTCAACAATGACTCTTCCAGCTCCATATGCAATGGACATATATAAGATATTTGAATAAGGTAACATATTTAACTTTGACGGTCGGCAATGTGTGTGTGAGTGTTGCATAAAGAACCTCGTTTTGCATACCTGATACCAAGTTGCAAGCTCAGCATCAGATAATAGCTCTTGTGGCCTTTGAAAATATCGACACACGAACTCCTATTAACTTCCTTGGCAAACTTCAACCGTTGCTTGCTTCTATGAGACAACTTGGATATATTTCTGACCCTCTCCTTAATAAGCACTCCTTGCATATACTCTCTCTCGTAAGCCACAGACCTACTTTCCAGAAGCTCCCCCTGCCCCTCGCAGGAGCTACCCAACACTACACAAGACCTCTCACGTGACAACATTTCTCTCGTCGAGGCCGACATGCCCGAATCATCATCTTCCAGAGACGAGGTTAACCTTCCAGAACCCCACCGGAAGCTCGACGAGATCTTATCAGACAAACTACGCTTCACCTCCAAATCCGCAGACGAGACATGGGAAATCTGCTTTCTCCGCCTCTCGATGAGCTCCTCGGGCCTCAACTTGCTCAGGTGCTTGTTCCCGGCCGGGTAAAATGTTCCGGTACCATCCTTCAGCCCACGGGACCACGTTCCAAAGTAGTAGCTCCCATCCGCGAACCTGTAGAATCCCGGGCCATGCCTCGACCCATTTGACCAGAACCCGTCAAAAAGGTCCCCGTTGGGCCACTTCATGACCCCTCGGCCCGACATACGCCCGTTCTTCCAGTTCCCTACGTACATGCCACCTGGGCCCCACCCATAGCGGCCGCTGCCCTCCCGGGCGCCCTCTCGCCAGCAGCCGTCGTAAACGTCCGAATTCGGGTACTGCTTCCGGCCGATGCCGTGCTGGGAGCTCATCTTCCAGGTGCCCCTGTACACAGACCCGTCGGGCCCAATGAAGGTCCCAAACCCGTGGAGAAAGCCCGCGGAAAAATCACCTTCGTAAGTGGACTGTGAGGTGGGCCATGAGATTTTACCATTTCCCGTCATTTTCCCGAGCTCCCAGTCGCCGTCGTAGATGGTCCCGTCTGGCCATTTGTATTTTCCCTTCCCGTGAGGAATCGTTCCCTTGAAGCTGCCAAAGTAGATATCTCCATTGGGAAAGACCTTCTCACGGGGCCTGTGAATGTGTAAGTTATTCATAACTGGATACTTGATTCAATATCAACCAAATTTTTTAGAAGTCATTTTTAGAATGATGTGCAACAGAAAGTTATACCTCGCCTCATTTTCCATGACAGATGATGATCCCTATTTAGATTACCTTTAGAGTATTCAAGAAAAAATGAAAACGTCAAGCAACAGAACAATGAGAATTGTAGATTTAAGGGATTTATGAATACATCACGACATTTATGATTAAAAGTTGCATCAAAGAAGTAAATAGTAGTACTCTAACCGACTGCACAACTTAAAAGAGAACGTAAATATTACCCGCCACATTGCATGTCTTTAGTCAGGCTAAAGGCAAAAAATGGATACTTCAGAGAAATCCTGATATCATCATCAACAAGCAATATTAAGTAATCCTTCAGTTGTAACAGTGACTAACCCTTAACAATTTTAGCAGTTAAAATGTTAAACCTAATGTGAAGGAGAAGAGAGGCTTTCATTTGGAACAATTATCAGTTAAACCAACGAAGCTATTAGTAATACATAACAAAAACTAACGATACGATCCCACGCAGATGAAGCGCACCATGACAGGCGTAGATGAAGCCCAAGTGAGGTTCCATCCCAAAACCAATTGGTTGATGGGAGGAGTAGCCTACTAGGCTTAGAAGCCTATTTTCACCATATAAACGACGTGGGACAACTCATAACAGGCTGAAAGTGGCATAATGAAATCCAAAGAGTCGGGAACAAGAACAAGAACAAGAACAGGGCAAAATTAACCAATTCAGGGAGGTCACTACTCATAAAACTCACTAAATCACAACTGCATAAGCAACTGAATTCAAACAAATCCTATACTCTTGCACTTTCCCACTGCAGATACAAAGGTCCCTTTTCGGCACTGCCCGAGTCTCATTCAAAACCAACACTTGAGATAGTAGAGAATAACAAAAATAAACAAAAACACATAGAAGAAGCTCACAAAGAAACCAACTCTTTCCAAGATTGGTGTACTATTTATCCACTCAACAACAACATTTCAGTTCTGCTGCTATTTATCACACACATAATCAGGAAATAATCA